ATCCATCCATCCATCCATCCATCCATCCATCCATCCATCCATCCATCCATCCATCCATCCATCCATCCATGTCCCTAGGATAGCGGGACGGTTAGCTTCACCATGCAGAAGAGGAAAATCAGATTTATCTGAGATTTCAGAGAAAAAAACAAACATTTCTGAGCTCCATAAGTCAAAAATCTGCAATAAAAAACTCAAAAGTGTTGAGATTAAAGTTGGACATTTTCTAGAAAAACTTTGAATTTTCTGATTTCAGAAAGTCAAAAATTTGTGGGGGAAAAACTAAAATATTTTAAGTTTAATGAAAACTGTATTATTATGAAACATGTTGGTGGCAGTATCATGATGCAGGAAAGAAGGATGAAGAATCGTAGTCCAGGAGAATCCTAGAACAGAGTTTTGGGTGAGAGGATGCAGGTGCACACCACACTTTTCAGATTCTTATTTTAAAACATTTCTATCCGTTCTACTTTGTGAGTTTGTTCTACTTTCTGTTCATAAAATAATAATAAATTCCTTTAAAAAGGGTCTTAAAAAGTTGTAGGCTGGAGTTTCTGCCGTCCTGTAGCATAATTAGAGTTTAACTAAACAGAAATAGAGCAAAAATATTCAGTATTTATATTCAGTATTAATATTTAAAATAGTCACCAGTCATTTAATGCGGTCCTCTGCTGCCATCTGGTGGTGGAAGTGGAGATTGACATGATTTCAGTTGGCGCCATTTTTTCGGTTTTTATCCCATATAAGTTTTTCAATTTGAGAAAAGTTACAAAAATTCCTTCATAAACACAAAAAACAAACAGAAATAATGTTGGAAATTCTAACTAAGATAAAACAAGGAAGAAATTGTTCGTATTTAAGTTCAGACAGTCAGAAAAATCTTTAATTTTTACTTGGTGTATGTAAATATGTAGCTTCAACTGTAAATAAAACCCATTTAGAGTTTAAAAACTTCACCAAACTTTATTAAGAACAGGTTATAATTTTTGCTAAATAAACATTAGATTTCTGCAAAAAGAGGACGATTCATGTTCCTAAAATTAAAGCAAATAGTTTCCAACTTAATGAGAAAATAAATTAATAATTCTAGTTCTTTGAATATTTTTCTGATGTGGAATGTTACTCTATTTTTCTAAATAAACTGAACATTTGGATTTATTATTATATCTGAAGCATAACTTGGTTACTTTCATTTTATTCAATGTTTTTAGGAACCAGGCTGAAGGTCAAACAGTCACCAGAAGTTCTGGGTCAGTTTAGTCACATTCTCCACTGAAAATATGTTTTGATCAATAAACCTACTTTATTTTATGTATTTGTTGCATAAAATCCATTTAATTAAATCCAAACGTATTAAAGATCCAATATGAGTTGATTAAACATGTTGTGTTAATTTTACATAAATATTCCAATAATTCTAATTAAATTAAATTAAATGTGAGAGAAAATATTTTCTATTTAAATTTTCTTTAAAAAAAAATACAAAAAAATATTTATGAAAATGATTATCTTTTAATACCTTATTATTACCATTATTTTACCAATAAAGAAAACTACATGATGGTTTGTGAAAAATGTATGAACCAAACGTTTCAAAATGATCCTAAATTCATATTAATGGATTAGTTTCAGTTTAAAATTAAATTATTTGGATGGGGGTGGGGGTGGGGATTTTGTGATATTTACAGTAACTTAAACAATTACTTATTTTTTGCAAAAGAAACGAAAACAATGGACGTTGAAGCTGCACGTCATGTAGTAGCTACTGAGCACCACCAGGTGGCAGTGTAGCTCCGTGTTACCTGGAAGAAGCCGTGCGCTTTTACCGTAGAAAGAGAGAAGAAAGACAAAAGAAAGAGGAAGAAAGAAAAATAATATTTTTAAGCATTTATTTCTCTTAACCTTGATTTTCTGCTTACATCCAATGAAAAAACATTTAACATTTCAATATTACACCAATAAAAAAGCAGTAAACCAAAAAAACAATAATAGAAAGCAGGCACATAGTGCAAAAATAGCAATTTTCTATCTATATATTGAAAGTATAAAGTATCAAAAGTATGGAAAAATGTAAATGTATTTAAAATTATAAATAAAAAAGTTAGGAAAATAATTATGGAATTAATTTTCAGTATCAAAGAGCAGCAATAAATAAATATAACAAACCTACTAAATAGCATTAATTTTCACAGAAATTAAACCTTTTTTCTTAGTTTAGTTCATAAAATAATAATGATTTTAATGAATAATGCCTTTTATAACAGGATATACCTCTAATAACTCCTGTTTGAAGTGTTCCCGCTGCAGTACTCGCATCTAATTTATTAATTGTAATTTTAGTTAATTTTTTCTTCCCGAACCGCTCCAAATTCGTCCTCCATCTTCCTGCTCTCTGATTGGTCGGCTTGCTGATTGAGCCTCTCTCTGATTGGCGGAAAGTTCCGGGCTGGGGCGGGTCCCTCCACGGACTTTTGTTTTCTCGCCTGCGGCTGAAATTTGGACGGTGCGGATCTCCTGGAGGCGGTTAGGACTCTTGGTTCCGCTGTTTGGTTGTGGATACATGAGGAGTTCGGTTCCGTTCTGGTTCCGTTCTGGTTCTGTGAGTGCTTCTGGGCCTCTCTCTGTGAGCGCTTTCCGCTCGGACTGTCATTGAGAAAGTCCACATGTTGGCTGGCTGGAGACACTTTCTGCATCTTTTTCCATCTGGAAATCTGAATTTTTTTGAGGAGTTTGTTGGAGGTCAAAATTTCTGCTCTGCTCGGATAAATTTACAGTAAGTCTGACTTTATTCTGAATATATTTAGCAGATTAAACCTCATTTTTGTGGATAATCTCTAAGAAACCAACTTTGTTTATTGTAAATAACGATTGTACACATTTGTCCTAATCAAATTCTCATTTGAAAAGTTTCCCAGACATCTAAACGTCCTCTATAATCTGTCAAACCAATAAACAAACTATAACCTAAACGTTTATTTAGTCCTGATCGAAAATAACAGTGATACAGCCTGGACAACAGGCTGGTAAAAATCGGTACCGACACCGGATCTCCTCTCAGTTATGGGTGAGAATTTATGTTGCATAAAGATTAAAAGTGTCTGCCGTGAGGAGAACCATGTGGACGGGATAAATCTGCTGCTTCCAGAACATCTGGGCGATTTATCTCCGTAATAAACCCATCAGCTGCTTCTGACCGGGACTTTTAAAACCCTTTAACTTCTGAAGCTTTAGTTTTTACTCTTTGTACTTTTACTATTACACGAAGAAAGAAGCTAAATCGTGACACAACTGATAACCTCTTATTTATTTAAAACTGTTGGTGGGAAAAAATGCACTTTTATTACAGTTATACTATAAAATTTAGCTGTACAGAAAACATTTAGCTGTTGTCCATCAGGAAACATGTTTATTATTCATAATTTACTGTTTATTGAATATATTCTGCTTCTATCCTTTTATTAGCTGCAGGAGCCTGCAGTCTGCTGCTTTACAAAAATGATTTAAAGCCACAAGAATCAAACATGTCAGCTTCTTTTCACTGCGCCTGCCCCAGGAAATCTGTTTTTAACAAACATTTTACTTTAGTTTTAAGAAAATCATGAAAGGGGAGGAATAAATATGTTCTGCCGTAGAAATTATTAATTTTGATAGAAGTTATGCCAAAAAAAGCACAAAAAAATGACGCCATAACAAAATAATGTTCCTCCCGGGTTACTGATGTTCCTTGCAGAACTGAAAGGAGAAAAAACATTTTTAGTAAGCTAAGCGATAATGATAGCTCTGCTAATGCTAAACTGCTAGAACATAAAGAAGCAGAAGCTAACATTTAACTGCTAGACATGTAAAAAATTAGCAGAAGCAAATGATAAACTGATAAATACATAAAAAATTTGCACAACACAAAAAGTACATAAAAATTAGCAGAAGCTAACAATAAACTGCTAAGCAAAGAAATTAGCTGAATCTAGTGTTAAACTGCTAAATGTAAAAAAAAAAAAACCTGCTGGCGCTATACTGTTACATATAAAATATTAGAAGATGCTAGCATCGAACCTCTAAACACGTAAAAAAATAAGCAGAAGCAAATAATAAACACATTTAAAAAAATTAGCGGAAGCTAACGCTAACCATGAAGACGTCTGTCTCTCTGTGAAACTCGCTAACAACAAAGTCCTCAGATTCTTATTATTACGTTAGCGTCGTATTAACAGATGACAAACATTTGATGTCACATAATTTCATCTGTCTCATGAAAATGAGGAACATTTTATGGCAATAATTGGTTAAAAATGGCGGTCAGCTAAATGTCTGTCATGCATAGCAAACATCCGAACTGAGGGGTTAGCATGCTAATTTTGATGCTCATATTCAGACAGTAATGTGCTGCAGTCTTTAGAAGAGGAACAGTATGAATGTTTTACCTGGTTCAGTTTGTAAATCGCAGCGGGTCTGGAGGTTTTAGTTCTCGTCCTCTGAGTTTGGGCCAAAGCCCGGAGGCCAACGCAGAAGATGACCTTTTCTTGGATCAGGATGTCGTTTCTCTGCATCAGTATGAACTTCTGCGTCTTCCCGCCGTCCAGGTCACTTCACCTCGCCGCCTCTCCGTAAAAACAAAATGGAGGTTCTGTGGATTGGTCTGCTGCTGCTGGAGGTGATCATGATGTCATCGGCGGCCAGAGGTGAGTCCGCCGCAGGTCAGCGACTGAGGTTCCCATGAACACAGAGACACGTCACCGGGAAACATTTCTCCTGCTGGTGGAGACAGACGCTCTGCGAAGTTCTGCTGACTAACCTGATTACTTCTTACAACCTGAGCCAGTGGGAGCATGTAGACATTTAAAGGGCCGGTATCAGATTTCGTTTTATAAAGTTTTTCCCTCATCAAAAACAAACATGGAGGTTTGTTTTGATTCTTTAATGCTTGAGAAATTATTTAATCTCCATGGCAACCATTCAGCTGCTAAACGTCTGGGTGGACCTAGCCCCGCCTTTGAGGCGCAGCTCCTTCCACACTCAGCTCCTTCTGACTAGCCAGCAGCAATTAGCAAGCAGATGCTTGCTAATTGCTGATTTAACGTTGGACTCAGAATCATCGCATCCATTTGAGTTGAATTTATGAAGCCAAACTAAAAGTTAGAAATTTAGAAAATGTATTTTTGAAAATGAGTTTCGTAGAGATTCTGATTTCAGTCGTTTCTCTGTTTCCGTTTGTGCTTTTACAATCTGCATATCAGTAAAACATTTAGCCAGCTGGTTGAACTCTAGCATCTCTTATTTCTCACACATAATGTATAATTATCGTTACTAAAATACTAAAGCTGATGGAAAATGTTGCCAAATATTCAGAAATATTTTTATTTCACAATAAAATGATTTTGTTTTTAAAATAGTTACTGAGCTCCACAGTAGACCCTGTATTTCCTGCTTCAGGACGGATCGACCCAAATAAAGAACCCAAATAAAGACATTGATCTCTTTGAAGTACAGATTTAAACTCTCTCTGATGCACATCTCAGTCAGATGATTAATTATTGATTGATGAATTGGAAAGTTTTAGTTTCCTGTCTGGCTGAGGACATGTCGACTCGGCGAACCGCAGAGCGACGCTCCGATCGAACAAACGACCTCATGGCAAACGAGCCGGGAACGTCAGGAAACGTCTTCTGCTGTAAATTCCCTCCGACACGCTGGAGGTGTCGCTCTGGTGCTGACCTCAGGGGTCAGAGGTCATTTTAGCTAACAGATAGCTCCTCTCCTCAGCGGCTCGAACCGAGCCGGTACCGTTCAGCTGCTGTTGCATGGTTCTAACAATGGGGGGCCTAAAAATTCATTCTAATTTTTTTCTTTGATGAATTGGATTTATTTCGTTATTTTGCCTTTTTATATTGATATTGTTTAAATCCAAACGTTTCTGTTATTATTCTTTTGGGAGGGACAATTCTAGACTTTTCCAAGATTGGGGGTCCGGACCCCCCTGGCCCCCCTGGTTTACGTCCATGGTCTCCGGTCCGCTTGGCATTCACACATGCATTGAAACCGAACCAGAGTTCACTTCTTAACCGAACCCAGACCCAGGTTTGGAGGACCAGAGGTCAAAGGTCAATTAGAGTTCACGCCTCACCAACTGAACAGGAGTTTATAGAAAGGTGGACCGGAGCCCGGTCGAGGCGGTCTCTGATTGGTTCTGTTCTGTTTTGCTGGTAGCGGGTCATAAATTGAGGCTTCAGTCGGATCCGGTTCGACTTGTTGAGTCCTGCAGTCTGGGCCCGACGCGGCCGCCCCAAACGGGACGCGGTGTGGGACGGAGCGGTCCGTCCTCATGCTGTCGGATATCCTGGTGCGTCTGGACCAGGCGGTTCTGTTCCTCTGTTTTCTGCCACCCTCCCAGTTTTACGGCTCTGCTAACGCTGCCTCCCATTAGACGAGAGTCACTGTTTGCTTTGGCTCCACTAATGGGGCCGTCAGGGTCCGTCTGGCTCTGCGGGGGGCCGCCGGTGTTTGCACAGCAGGAAGGACAGCAGCGGAAGAGATGACACCACCAACGACTTTAACCTCTGATAAACCTCCTCCATCCAGAGATATTATCCGATCGGCTGCTGAAAACTTTCTTTTCTCATTTTGATTGAACGCATCATCACTAAAATCAATATTGACAAATTATTGACTCAGAATTAACTCCTATATTTTCCTGAAAAGTTACTTTTAAGTTAGTTTTGTTTGATTTGAAGTGTACTAAGATATTTGCAATAGTATTGAGAGAAATTTGTTCCAATATTTTTAGAGCAAAGAACGCAATCAAAAATGTTAATTAGAAAAAAAGAATTTAACGCTGACCAATAGAAATTCACAAAAGTGTGAAATGGAATCAGGAAAACGCGATTTAAAAAAAAATCCATTAGTAAAATCCACCCCCCCAAAATGTTTTTAAATTATTTAAAATTGAAATCTGAAGAAAAAAAACAAAACAAATAATTAGAAATAATAAAATTTGAAAAAAATAGCAAACTGCATAAATGAGGTTCAAGTACTGCCAAACATTGTAAAATACTAAATGTTTATTTTTATCAAAAAATGTGCAAAGTTTTAATATTAAAATGTATTTCTTTCTATGGGTTTGTTGCTTGCAATAATATTGGCACCAATTTCTCTCCATACAAAGAAACTAGATGTAAATAGTTGGCAGGATTTTGTGTTTTTGCCTTGTCGCTCCTCCATTTTATGAATCTACAGCACATTCAATCCTTCAGATGGAGCCTGTTGCAGGTTTCAAACATCCGTGTTTAGTCAGCAGGAATATTAAACAAGATTTGGAGGTAATTCCTGCTGCTTGTAATTCATCCGTATCGCGTTTCTTCGCCTCCGCCCCGACATGTTCAGAATATTCTGATGCATTTTTCCATTTACTGTTTTTCAGAACCAAACCTGAGATTCATTAGAGTCTCATCGTGAGGAGAACCGTCGGTCGGGTTGTTTCGTTTTCTCTGCCGCTCCGTCATTCAGGCTGTTCATTCTGAGGTTCATCAGACTTCCTGGTCTGTTCTGGTTCTGATTGGCTCTTCTGTTTGTCTGAGAGTCCAGGATGGGAAAGCAGTGGTGTCCAAACGGCGGCCCAGGGCCCACTAGTGGTCCTCTGCAGGACTTTGGGCGGCCCTGGCCTCATTCTGGAATGAAGGAGACTTCCTTCTTTCAGAGAAAACTTTGTTACAGAAAATATTTCTGCATTTATCTTAAATTACTTTCACCAAAAGAAATAAAACAATCAACCCCAGAGGTTTGAAACTTGCCCTTTCATGCTCCGATGATTTACTGAGCCGCTTTCTGCAGAAAATGACTTTTTGTTGATTTCAATAAAATACATTTTTCAGACAATTATTGAGCAGAGAAAATAAAAATAAAATGGTTTTATTCATGTTAAAAAAATCAATTAATCAACGAGTCAGAGGCTGGAATTGAGAATTTTTTAAAAATTTATTTTGTTTTTTTAGGATTTATTTCATTGTTTATTTATTTCAGTCAGCTTATGCTAAATACTATATTTGTATGGCACTTTAGCCTTAGCTTAGCCCAAATATGATGTTGATATAGCACTTTAGCATTGACTTTGTTTAATGCTATATGGTGTAGCACTTTAGCGTTACCTTTGCTAGGTACTGTGTTGTTATAGCGCTTTAGTAATAGTTTCTGCTAAATACTGTGATGGTGTAGCACTTTAGCATTAGCGGTGCTAATATTTACGATTAGTGCTTGAGGATTAGCACAGCTAACGTTTCAGCTAGCAGTCCCCTCCGCTGGTTCCAAACACTAGCTGTGTTCAATGTGATGTTTGACTTAAGTCCATTTTAGTGATTAATCAATCTTCCTGTTTTTGAACATTTAAGTTTTAGAAAATCTAGATTTTTTTAACCACTTTGAACGACAGAAACAGGTTTCTGTAATTCAAAGTGATGAAAAACCAGTTTTTCAAAATATTTTCTATCGTCTGTAATTTATTTTTAAGAAAACGTGATTTGTTATGAGGAAATGTGTGATTTTAATTTTCTGACTTTGCCCAACGTGAAGAAGCCGTTTGGCTGTGAAAGTGTCTGAGTTCATGACTTTATGAAATAATTCCCCGTCTGAGGAGCTGACGCACAGCGGACGTTACGAAGTCTCGCTCTGACTTGATTATTGTTAATAAATCGAAAAGCAACAGAGGAAAGCACAGCCGACATTTCTGGCATTTTTTCCCAAAGCAAGAGGCCAAACATTGACCAGATCTGTAAAAGATTATAAAAACAGATACCGGGTCCGGTCTCCAGTGAAAGCGGGGGACGCTAATCCCTCGCTATGCTAACGTCTAGCTGGAAGGCCAGCAGAACAGTAAGCTGCGTTAATCATTCCTGCTGCTCGACCCTTCACACCGCCGGCTCAGCGTTCTGATTATCAGAGTAATCCCTGTGTTGTGCTGGCACCGTCGTCACGCTGGGACACAACAGGCCTTTTCTCTGCATGTAATTAGCAATGCTACTTACAAGGCTAATGCTTTCTGCTAATACTCACTGCTACAGGTTTCTGCTAATGCTCTCTGGGATTTAACCACTCAGCTGCAGGGGAGGGACAGAAAGCTTGAGAAGAGTCTGAATCGATCCAGACAGATGAGAATTGTTTAAACTGGACTAGTTTGACCTCTTCTCTGATTGGTTGAGCTTCCATGATGTCACCCAACGAGGAAGTGAGTTTCAGGTGAAACAATAAAATGTATTCATTGGTCATCTATCCATCTGTCAATCAATCATGGACTCACATGTTGATTTAAAGACTTCCATCTTTAAATCTCTCCCAGCGTTTCTCCATCCGTTTCTCGTCAGATGCTAAAATTCTTATTGAGCGTCTGTTATCTGCTGGAAGTCTTGCTCTCTCTCACCCTGTGGCAGCCTGAATTTCTCTGACTTCTTTTCTAAACACAGTGAGTCTTCTTCTCTCAGTAGCAGCTTCTGCACTGAAGAGTGTCGCCAGCGCTGCCTGGTGGCCAGATGGTGTAGTTCAATCCCCGGTCATTCTGTCGGGGACAAAGTTTGTCTGATTTAGTGTGAAATAAACATTTCTGAGAGGAGAAACATTGGAAAGTTCCGTATGTCTTCAGGAGAATGAAATGTGTGAAGAGTTTCTAATAAAAACCAAACGTCACCGATGATGATTC